GTTTGTACTCAACTTTGATGTATTTATTTTACTTAAGCAGGTTACATTCATACTTATACAAATCTATAAGTAATTGTATTTATTTGGTTTGATTTGTATAGTCAAGGCAGACACAATGTATAAGACAATTTGTATTTTTATATGTATTCAACATTATATATTAGTACGTAATCAGCTCCAGTTGTGTGCATTGTATATCTAATTTAGAGACTGAATAGTACAATGGCTATAATTATATATTCAGCAGATTGTATATGTATTTATTGAATTGTTATATTATAGCTGAGTATATAGTTGTATTCCAATGTATTTTGATTGGTTATGTATATACAACTCAGGCATTGTCTATAATAAATTGTCTAAGTATCTGTTGACAAGGTTGTATTCGAATGTATTCAACACAATACTACAACTAAATGTATCCAGAATCTATTCACGAAAAGGTTCAAAATGTATTACTTCACGATGTCATCAAAAGTAATGATAAATCGTTGGAGCACTAATACATGTCATAGTGTTAACTAAATCCCACGTGGAGCATTTCTACACGTTCGCTTATTATGTCCTCCCTGCCCACATATGCTACATGAATATTGATTTTTCGGCTGCAGCAATTCACTGAAAGGTTTATCGCGCTTCTTCTTTGGCCTTCCAGGAGGTCTTTTCCATTTGGGTGGTAATGCAACTTCCTCTACAATATGTGCTGGTATATTCCAGTCATTTCTGTCCGGTAGCGGGTACACATGCACATCGTACGTCATTACAACATAATTTGGTTTGTAATAGTTAGAGCAATAATCTTCTGGCATTAGAAACTTGCTCTTCAATACAGCCCAAGCATGTGGGCATGGTAATTCATCAACTTGGAACCTCCCACAAACGCATTTTCTCTCTAACAAGCAGACGGTGTAATGCCTCCCTCCATCGTTAACCGTATGTAAGTATTCAGTTGATGGTACCACCTACATTTAAACATAGACCTATAAGTTTTGAGCACATATAAATGAATTTCTATATGTATAATGCAGAATTATTCAGTTAAATACAACTGAAATGTTTGAATACAGAAGAATACATCATATATGTAGACCGACAGACTAAAAACTATAATTACGTCTTAGCTTATGAATACAATGATATACATCAAACATCTGCTTAACTTTAGGCAGCTGAAAAGAAACAAAAACATTATAAGGCTACTGCATGACAATACAACTAAATACGTCTATCTAAAAAATTCTGTATAACTTATTTCAGAAAACAATTAAGCTATCTAAAGAAATAGCTTAATATATGATACAATGACATTAAAATAAAACTTACAGTCATGCGTGTAGACATT